CAAATTTCTATGGCCGAAAATTCATATTTTTCCGGCAACATTGAACCTTTTTTTCCGGCAAAAACTTGAAGTAATAAGTAATCTATGTATTATATGAGGACTTTGGAGTCCGACAATCATCTTTAATTCATATATTTTTGGTTAATTTGTTAAGGATTCAATTTTGAATATTTGTTTATATTTACCCTAAGACAAATAAAGTGATCATAATCTCTTTTTTGTTGTTCATGTATACCAAATTTATGCTATTGTTAGGTTATGTTAAGTGTTATTCATTATAAAACAAAAAAATAAGATGATAATAATCATAGTACCACTATTCATGATTTTTGTACCTCTATTTGTATATCTAGTACCATGTTGCTCACTGTTTGGTACCATATGTGCTGGAAAATGTGAAGTTGTTTTGTTTTATCTGATTATTGTTAGATACATGGAACGGGCACAAAGTAATATATTAGGGAGTTGTACCTACAAAAATAAATTGTATGCGTTCTTTATGCATCTTGGATTAACGTTTGACGAAGTGTACACTCTCATTGCTAAGAGGTGGCCGATTGTTAATTTGGAATCCGTCGTGTTAAACTAAATTGCGCCAAAGAAAAAAAAAAGAAAGTTAGTTTGTCCGATGATGAAGATGTAAAAACATGATTCGGTTACATGTTTGCTGGAAAGTAAATATTGTAGAGATAAATCAGAGTTGTTAGTGCAAGATAAATCGATCGATTCTTGCTGATTTTGCATCAAATGAGAGGTACAGATATTCAGTGACGGCGCCGATGAATTTCGAAAGAGTGCTAATTCAATTAGTACATACTTTCGTTGAGTGTAGCGCCACGATTTTATTCATCTATGAGATTGCTCGATTTTAGTCTCAAGAAATAGTGTTTATTGTGTTTTTGTCGTTATTTTCGTGTGTTATGTGTGCTTTATTTTGCAGTTTTTAGGCTCGTTTTAGTGTCGACCGGTCCATTTTATCATGTTTTGTGTATTTTTGTTATTGTATAGTGTTTTCGTAGTTTTGCGCGTTTTCTCTTTTGTTTTGGTGTTGAATAGGTCCAACTTGTCGAGACGAGGAGACGAGCCGTCCAAACCGACCGAGCCGTCCAACCCGGAAAATCCGACCAAGCCATACCGGGACGAAGAGAATTCAATTAGAAGAATCTTGGTCCAAGTTTCGTGCGAATCGGAGTTGTGTGCGAGAAGATAGAGCCAAACGAAGTCGCACATAACCGAGACCAAACCATGGCACCCAGCCTGCGAATCGCATTCCGCGCCCGCGAACAGGGGCTAACCCGCGAGTTCCATGCACAGTGCCCGCGAATCTACTTCCGCGCCCGCGAAACGGATGCAACCCGCGAGTTCAGCGCCCGCGTGCGCGAATTTTTTGCCGTGCTCGCGAGTTCCACGCCCCAGCTCACTTCCACGCGCGTGAAATGCTCCACGACCTCGCGAGTGCTGCTCCATGCACGCCGCGCGCGCGCGAAATGCCCAACGAGCTCGCGAGTGTCCCTTGCAGCGCGCCCCATGCGCGAGTCCCATGCCCGCGTGCGCGTGAGATTTTCCGCGAGCTCGAGAGTGCGCCTGCTGCACCCGCGCCTTGTGCCTAGCTCTCGACCTCGCGGATTTCGCAGCTAGCTCGCGAGTTTTTTAGTAAATGTGCGTGTTTTAGTGTGTGTTTTGTGGTGTAGCTATATAAAGACATCTTGCTTTGTATTTTTGAGAACAACTCTCATTTCCCAAATTTTAAGTTGGGAATTCCTCTCTATTTTCTCTTTTTCCTTTTTTTTTTATATATTTTGGTTTGGAGCTTTATGAATTAAGTTTTCCGGCGAATTTCCGGCGACATTGTTTCGAGTAAAGTTTCGAGCTTTTGACTCCGTTTCTTCTTCCAAGTGCGTGCAAGAGTGGGTACTTAGTCTTAAGCCTCATTACTTCGTATATCTTTATTTGCTTTCGTGAAAATTGATATTGTGCTTGTGTTGGTTGGAGGAAAAGATTGAATCTTTGGATCGAGAATGCTTGACTAAGTGTGATTAGGAGTTAAATACTTGCTCGTTTTGTGCTAGAGCTTGGTTTAGCTTTCTAGGGTTTTAGCTAGCATGGCAATGTTCGGTTATTTGCGTGTGATTGATCATGGAGACTCCGGCAAACCAAAATCTCTCTTTCCCCCTTGATTTCTCTCATCTTTTGCGTGCTTAGTTAATTGCTTTCAATTGCTCTCATTTCGTAGATTAATCTAGTTTAATTCAAACCCTCAAATTGCGAGTAGAATGTTTAGGACCTTTTCGGTTGTGAGACTTTGACGACTAGGTAGTGGACGAAGCTCCGAAGAGCCTTCCTTTGAGAACGACCCGAGTCGGGTAACTCGGTTACCACATGCCCAAAAATACTACAAACAAATAGCAAGTAAAATATTCTAAGTTTCAAGAATTCAATCCAAGTACTTAAATTTAATATTTTAAGCACCAAATT